AAAGAGCACAGCCTTCGGTATGGATTACATCTCAATATCAAGAAAACAAAAATCCTCACCACTGGACCAATAAACAACATTCTTATCAACGGAGAAAAGATTGAAGTTGTCAAGGACTTCATTCTTCTTGGATCAACTATCAAGACTCAGGGAAGCAGCAGTCAAGAGAGCAGATGACGTATTGCAATAGGCAAATCTGTTGTACAAGATCTCTTTAAAGTGTTGAAGAGCAAAGATGTCAGCTTGAGGACTAAGGTGCGCCTTACCCAAGCCATGGTATTTTCAGTAACCTCATATGGATGCGAAAGCTGGACAGTGAATAAGGAAGATTATAGAAGAATTAATGCATTTGAGTTATGGTGTTTGAGGAGAATATTGAAAGTGCCATGGGCTGCCAAAAGAACAAATAGATCTGTGCTGGAAAAAGTGTAGCCAGAGTGCTCCTAAGAGGCCAGGATGGCCAAACTTTGTCTCTCATACTTCAGACATGTCAGGAGGGATCAATCGCTGGAAAACGATATCATGTTTGGTAAGATGTAGGGTTAGAGAAGAAGAGGAAGACCCCCAGCGATATGGATTGGCAAAGTGGCGGCATCAGTGGGCAACAATTGTGAGGTTAGCCCAGAACTGGGTAGTGTTTCATTCTGTTGCACCTTACAACAAGTGGCATGCATGTTTCTCTGATTCTGGAAGCTGTGCCATCAGTATTTCAAATGCTAGCAGGGTCACTCATAGTAGACAGGTTTCAGAAGAGCTTCTGGACTAAGACATACTAGAAAGAAAGGTCTGGCAATCTACTTCCAAATATTACCCAATGCAGGCACAGCAGAACATTGTCTGACTCTCTTGCTTTCAACACGTCATCAGGGTAGACTGTCCACTGGAGGAGAACATCATATTTGGTGAAGTAGGGCCAGAGAGGGGATGGGAGACCCTCAGTGAGATGGATTGTCTCCATAGCTACAAAGATGTGCTTGAATACGCAGGTACTCTTAGGATGGGGTGGGACCATGGGATGTTTCATGCTGTTGTACCTATGTTGGAGTCAAATCATCAGCACCTAGGAAGGACAATCCCTAAAAGGATCTGGAGTCATTGAGTTGTCCCTTTGAGATTCTCCACATAACCCTAACTTCTTATAGACTCTTAAGGAATATCACCCACACTCATCTGTGAGTTTGTCATTTTGTGGTGACTTATGTGTTGCTGTGATGCTGGAATCTGTGCCAGATATATTTGAAATAACAGGTTTCAGTGGAGGGTCCAGACTAAGACAGACTAGGAAGAAGAAGAGGCAGGCTATTTCTGAATGGTTAGCCATTGAAAACCTTATGAATAGCAACCTGTCAACATTGTCAGTCACAGTACGGGAAAATATCAACAGAATAGTGTTAGATATAGTGCTGCAAGATAATTTCCTTAGATTAGAAGACATTCAAAATACAAATGGGAAAAAGGTGCCTCCTCAAAGTAGAGTTGGCCATAATGACAAGAATGAAGCTTTTGGGACCATCATTTGTTGATGATGCCCAACTCAAAATGAGGAGAAACAGCTGCAAACATCCATAAATAATTGAAGCATGGAATATGCAAAGTATGAATCTAGGAAAATTGAATGTTATCAGAAATGAAACAGAACACATAAAAAGCAATATCCTAACCTTTAGTGAGTTGAAATGGACTGGCATTGGCCGTTTTGAATCTGACAATCATATAGTTTACTTTGCCAGGACAAAGTCAAAAGAAATGGCATTGCATTCATTATCTAAAAGAACACTTTAAGATTTACCTTGAAGTGCAGTGCTGTCTGTGATAGGATAATATCCATATGCCTACAGGGAAGACCAGTTAATACCACTATTATTACAATTTAGCAACTAACCATGAAAGTTGTTGTTGTTGTTGTTAAGTGCCGTCGAGTCGGTTC